AGCTGTTCACCAGTCTTGTTATTTAAAAAAAAATCTCTCTAAATTACTTACCCTTAAAATAAAATTTGATTTAATATTCTTAGTTTAAGAGTTAAATTTCTTGTAAGTTTATAGAAAAACAAATTAAGCTACTTTCATACAATTTTTAAGGATTTTGTAAACGTTGTAAAATCTAAAATGTTTCTGCAGATTCAGTTGTAACAGAATGTAAATATTAAACCTGATTCTTTCATAACATACTGATTTACTTAAACTAAAACATTTGTAGGGTTTAGATGCATTGTGGTCCGGATAAAACAAGAGTGGAATTACAATACAATAATCTTGAAAACATTATTATTCATGCTGAATAAGGGGAAGAAGTTTCTTAATAACAAAAACATTTTTATTAATTTTGTATAAAGAAAAAGTAACAAAGTTTGAAAAATTATTTAAAAAACATCTAATACAAAATAAATGGATAATCTAAATAACTAAACCTGGAAATAACAATGGGTCTGTTTATAATTTATATATGTACCAAATTGCTTATGGATCACACATACAATAAATGTAAACAAAAATAACATAAATATTGCAATTAATTCCATTAATTACTGATGGGTCTCTTATATATCTTGCATAGAAGATGAGATTTCACTCAAACGTTTGGGTTAATTCTTTACAGTGTGTTGTAAGAGGCAAAAGTATTAAATTATTCTATGTGGTGCAATAACTTAACATATATATATACTGAATGTCAAGAATGCAAGACTTTTCCACAGGCTAATACTTACCTCCGTCCCAGCATTAAAATCCCTTTGGTTTCAGGATTTATTAAACAGAAGTCACCATGACACCAAACCCCTATTTAGATAACATGTAAAAGTATATATATATACTTATATACATTGCTCAACAACTCATATAATAAAACGCAACAGAACCCATTTCATGACTTTAATCTATTGTTTAGGTATATTTAAATAAACCTGATTAAAAATTTTACAATGCTATCAAACAAAATCTACAATCAGACAACTTTATTAATCCATTGTTACATCACAAATAATCAAACATTAAAAAAAAGAAAGAAGAAACCCTTGTGTTTTTGACAGGCCTACAAACTGAGAGTGCTAGGGCTTTAAATATATCTTTTATATCCGATTAATCAAACTTTTGACCTTACCTGTTTTACTATCATGAATAAATAAACACATTATGTCTATTTCTAACACACAAACCATTAATGACATAATTAATTGGTCAAATGATCCCAATGTATTTTTGCCATAATGTTTTTATGGTTAGTAAATGTGATAAAGCAATTTAATGCAAAACAGAATATTACTACTTAACACTGATATTTCTGAGGTTATGATGCTATCAAGTATCAATATTGGTTTAGTTACTGCACATTTATTTGACCAACTGATTTGATAGTACAAATGCATCACAGCATCAAAATTATTAGCCTTGACTCCAAAAACAAACGCAAATAACTACAAAACTAGAAATTTGAAATTAAAAATGAAAGTGACATCACCTGAAAATTTTCTAAAATATGCTTGTTGGTATCTTTTCCCTTCTGGATCATTCCAAAAGTGGGTGGGCATAGATGGGAATGGTTTAGTACATATCAACTCTCCTTTTTCTCCTGTGACAGCTTTACCTTTGTGGAAAGCAATACATATTTTTAGCTGACATTGCCTATTTTTAAAACTCTTGATTACTTGTCTGTTTTAACAGTTTTTATAAGATTTCTTTCTTCTTACACATTTCTGATGAAGACATTTTCATAAGATAATTATCACATAAAGAACCTGATAGTAACTGATTAATGTATGACATTTATTGTCCCTAATACAGATAGAATATGACACATTTTTAAAAAAAAATTAATTAATGTACAACGTTTATTGTCCCCAATACAGTTAGAACATGACACATTTTAAAAAGAGTTCACATAAAGAACCTGATAGTAATTAATTAATATACAACATTTATTGTCCCTAATAGTTAGAACATGACACATATTTAAAAAAAATTCACCTAACAGTAATTAATTACTGTACAACATTTACTGTCCCCAATACAGTTAGAACATGACACATTTAAAAAAAAAAATTCACCTAACATTAATCAATTACTGTACAACATTTATTGTCCCTAATACAGTTAGAACATGACACATTTTAAAAAGTCTGATGGACATATTACAGATAAGAGCAAAACTAGGCTACAAAATGACATTTTAAACATACAAACATTTTTAGTTACAGGTCACTCTAAAGACCATTTTGGTGAACTATCCTAAGTTCATTATCCAATTCACAAGGGAAAAAAAATATCTACGTTCCTTTGTTACTCACAGCCTGACTAACATTTCTTTTTGAATAACAGTGAAATACCTGCATTAGAAGTTATACTTTAGTACTTGCCGAGTTGGTGGATTGAAAACCTAGACTCTAATAAGCCACTTTACCTTCCGAGTTCCAACATTCAAAAGCTATCCCTAAGTGTTGAGATTGAATCTCTCCTCTGTGGACTGGTAATGTAGGATTTTGTCCAGCAAAACAAGCAACGATATCTGAACCACCTGAAAACCAGAACGATATTAAACTTGACTTGTAATAATCTTAACAAGCTATAGAGGAGTGAATGAGGTGGTCGAGGAATCAACCAAACTACTATATAATTTAACCAAAACTACTACTTAATAGACCTTTATAATTTTCCTTATTTTGAGGACAATGTAGTTGAATCTCTTTGCTGTACTTTCATTTAAAGGATTAAATGAGTATTCTTTTCTGAGATAAAAGAGTAACATGTTTAAAAGTTTACATTACAGAAATATTATTTTTGCAAACTTAGTTTAATCAATGAAAATACATTTCCTTCATTATGTAACTGAATTAGCAAGTTCTCCCACAAGAAAACACTGCTTAAATTTATGCATGTTTATTTATATATATATATATACACACACACACACACACACACACACATACATACATACATACACACTGCTTTTAATCAATT